CTTAAAAACAAAAAAATAACTTAATTAAAATTTTCAGGTTGTAAAATCAGCCTTCCACCAGCATGCAGTGAATAAACTAGGGCAGAAACAACTAATTGACATAATCAATTACAAAAATAGTTGTCAACTATTTTCATTATCAATTTGTTGTTCAGCTGAATCGTTGGCCTGCAATCAAAATGCAGTATTTGTTTACATATCAGAAAATACAGTGCAGCACACAGAGCTCAGTACACCATACATACATGTTAGTATACATAGTGCAGCACACAAAAGCAGTAGTGCCTCATGGGACATGCAGCTCTGGGCAGGAAAAGGAAGGGATTTAAAGGGATTCTAAAAAGGCAGAAGCTTTTTCCTTGCTATAGGGGCACTCTGAAAGCAGGAAAAGCCAGAAGTGCCTGCGGGGGACCCCAGAAGACAAGGATCAGGGCTATCCTGTATAAAACTATTGCACAAAGTAGGTAAGTATAACATGTTTATTAAAAAAAAAAAAAAAAAATAATTAATAATAATCCAAAGCATCTGAACCCACGGAAGCTGGAGGCTGAAAAACTGGAGGTAATATAAGTAGTGGTACACCGAAATGAAAATTTTGGTGCCGAAACCGAAAATTCAGGATGCACTTGGCCGAAAACCAAAATAGGCAGTTTTTAAAAATGAATATATTTTTTGGAAAAAACACACTTTAATGACTAAAAAAAAAAAACAAACCCCCCCCCCCCCCCCCCACCCACACAAAATATATATTCAATTATTTTTAGTAAAATCTGAAAGAGGATGTTACAGAGAGTAAATAGATACCCAACATGTCATGCTTTAAAATTGCACACACTCGTGGAATGGTATCAAACTATGGTACTTAAAAATCTCCATGGGTGAGGCTTTAAAAGTTTCTACAGGTTAGCAGTGTAAACTTAGAGGAGTTCTAGTGCTAGAATTATTGCTCTTACGTTCGTGGAGATACCTCACGCGCGTTTTGAATTATTATTATCCACTAGGGGACCACCCACAGATATACTGTGGCAAAGCGGCCCCTGTAGGCAGGATCACGTATATAAACATGATTCTTCTTTACATGTGAGAGCCGCGCGCGACCCGCCCTGCCCATGGCACCGGACATGAAGTGATTAACTGACAATTGCGCGGTCATGCAATATGATACATAAATTAAATGTATGTAGTTTTTTTCCCCACACAAAATAGAGCATTCTTTTGGTGGTATTTAATCACCTGTGCACTTTTTATTTTTGGTGCTTTAAACAAACATTTTGGAGAAAAAAAAAACTTTTTTTAAAAACGATAATTTTATCATGTCGGTCATAAAAAAAAAAAAATATCCAAAAAAAAAAAAATGTCATAAATGTAGACTAAAATGTATTCTGTTGCATGTTTTTTGTTAAAAAAAAATCCCAATAACTATATATTGATTGCTTTGTGTGAAAGTTATAGCATCTACAAACTATGGTAGAGATAATGGAATTTACACAACTTTTACTTTCTGACTGCCCATCACATTTCTTGAGGTGCTAAAATACCAGGATAGTACAAACACCCCCAAAATGACCCCTTTTCGGAAAGTAGACACCCTAAGCTATCTAAACATAAAACAGTGCAGCGCTAAAGAATAATATATATATATAAACACAAATAAATGCAGAACCCCCCAGTGCACACAGGGGGTACAGTATAAACAGTGCAACACATGAATAACTTAGTGTACATGTGACCAGTGTCCTATCCGACACTCGTGAAAAACACTCCTATAAACCATTAAATATTACATAGATAAATCAACATAATGATAAATAAAATAGGAATATCCTCCTGCGCTCAACCATGAGATTTCCTAATAAATAAGCCAGCTGCTGTCACCTATTCCCTATACCCCCAGGATGTGCAAAAATGAAACAAAAAATGGTGAAGAAGCGCTATGCAAATGCAATAAATTAATAAATAAAAGTGTATGTACACACAATTATGTGAATATATATACATAAATATACAAATTAATAATAATTATAACGTGAGACTCCAATCCTTGAAACAATATAAAGTGACACGTGCTCAAAACAGCAACACACTGTGTAAAATCAAGTGCCTGGTCTGCCAATTAATATGTATACACACCAGGTAAAGTGAAATATATAACAAAACAGATATCCACAATTAATATATCAAGTGACAAGTGCAAAAAAAAACACAAATAATAGAAATAAATAAACAACAATTGGATAAAATCATTCGGTGCAAACATCAATGGTGATCAGTCCAACACAATGTGCTTCAATCTTCAGTGTACACTTGTAAGTGCTCTCAGTGACACTCTTATGTGACTTATCCCACAGTGGCTAAAGTGCCTCCTCACCTCCCAACATCGACCCCTAAGGGCCACAACACCTTAGGTAATCCTCAAACCAGACGGCGTCCCACAATATGGCTCCACCGACTCCAATCGGGCTCCGCTCCTAACTCAGCGCATCAAAGATCCCTTTCACACAATAAGGCTCAGGCATGCATGAAAGGGGTAAAGAAAAAGACCTCCATTAGTGTAATTTTTAATCTTCAAAAAAACACCAAATAAATGGATACTCACAATCTTGTCAGTACAGCAGTTCCCATGTGCTATGGGTGTACTAGAGGACTCGGGTGTACCAAGATGGAGTCAGGAACCGGAAGTGCGTCTCCGCTGTTACCGGAAGTGCGTCACCCGCGCATGCGCTCCACCACGATAAAACACGTGGCTTCCTCAGGATCCTGATCTGCCTGCAGCCTGGGCTCCCCCCTCCTGGCAGTGGACACCCCCCTTGAAGGATCATCCACCTGGGTCCGGAGGGGATATTGCTGACAGGGCTGTGTATGGAAGGATCGGAGTATGTTGAAGTGGACTTGAAAATTATCCTGGTATCATTCAGAGTGGTGTAACACTCAGAGCGAGCTGACCCTGTAGGGTCGATATAAGGAGGTGAGGGGGCACTTCGACTACTAAGGATTTGCACGGAGTGAACACATATCAGCACTTGCATGAGCATTTTATTTTGAGCACCAATATTGGATATTTCACGTTTTCTTTTTTTGTGTGGATTTATTTATCATTATGTTGATTTATCTATGTCCATATTTAATGGTTTATACGAGTGGTTTTCACGAGTGTCGGATAGGTCACTGGTCACATTTACACTAAGTTATTACCGCGGGGAATTCACGGTTTGCACTGTTTATATTGTACCCCTTTATATTGTGCACTGGGGGGTTTCTGCATTTATTTGTGTTATATATATTCATCTTTAGCGCTGCACTGTTTTATATTTAGTCACTTCACTCATTAAGGTAAGAGGTTAGTGCCAGCAGCTTGAGTGTTAGGAACCCATTTTTAGCGCAGGAGGATTTTCTGTCATTTCTGTACCCTAAGCTATCTGCTGAAAGGCATATTGAATCCATGGAAGATTTATCTTCTTCCCGCAAGTTTCTGGAAAATTACAAATATATATATTTATTTTTACACACAAAGTTGTCATTTAAATTATATATTTCTAGCACAAGCCATGGGTATATGTGAAATTACACCCCAAAATACATTCTGCTACTTCTAACGAGTATGGGGATACCACATGAGTAAAACTTTTTTTGGAGCCTAGCCACATACAGGAGCCTAAAATCCAATGACCACTTTGAAAGCCTGAAGGTGCGCAACTTCCCATTTCACTTCCTCACTACCCATCCCAGTTTCGAAGGCCCTGAAATGCCAGGATAGAACCAAACAAACCCCCCCCCCCCCCCCCCCCCCCCCAATGACCCCTTTTTGGAAAGTAGACACCCCAAGGAATTTAAAAAGAAGGCATGGTGAGTATTTTGCAGATCTCATTTTTTCTCACAAGGTTTTGAAATAGAAAAAAAAACAAAATTATTTTAAATAAAATGTTTTTGTTTTCCTTCATTTTCCAAAAACTTGTGGCAACAAACGAGATCTGCAAAATACTCACCATGCTTCTTATCAAGTTCCTTGGGGTGTCTACTTTCCAAAAAGGGGTCATTTGAGGGGGTTTGGTGCTATCCTGGCATTTCAGGGCCTCCCAAACTCATCAGGAAATGTAAAAGCCTGAAGGTGCTTATTGGATTTTGGGGTCCTGTACTTGGCTAGACTGCGAAAATGTCTCTCACATGCGGTACCCCCATACTCAGAAGAGAGTAGCAGAATGTATTTTGGGGAGTAATTGCACATATACCCATGGCATGTATGAGCAATAAATCATTTAAGTGACACTTTTTTTTTTGTCATTTCACTGCCTTCTACCTCAACTGACCCTGTCTGGTCTGTTTATCGACTATACCTGTGCCTCCCATCTGCATTGTTTATCCACCATGTTTATGCCCTCCACCTGAACTGACCCTTGCCTGTTTATTGTCTATGCTTCTGCCAACCGTCTGGATATTAAAGCACGTTCATGCCTTCTTCCTGCACTGACCTCAGCCTGTTAATCGACCATGTTTTTTGCCTGTCTCTTGGATTGATCTTTTGACCTGCTACTGTAGTAGTGGGATTCCCCCTCCCTCCTAGATTGTAAACTCGAAAGAGTAGGGCCCTCTTACCCCTCGTGTGCTGTTTGATGTTACTGTACTGTTTCATGTATTGTCCCCCCCTCTATTGTACAGCGCTGAGCAAACCCTTTGGCGCTATATAAACTAGATAAATAAATAAATAATTCAAGATAACACAGGGGTCTCACATATGTTAGAGGCTTCATAGTACAGAACACCAGTTTTTAGTTCTCTCTGAGTTTTGTAATTCCCGTAACAGGGTCTTGTTGTCCGGAGGCTTCGAAGAGATTGGGTGGGATGAAGCCTCTACCCCTGTGCCCCGCTGCAACCTGACCAAGGCCCTAAGCCTGATGTTCCTGCCGTATGCCTGGACCAATATTTTGGCTGTGCTGACCATATCTCTGCCTACTGCCACTACTCACCCAGGACTTTTCATAAACCTTGTTCCTGCCTGTTACCTG